GAAGATAGGGAAGATGCGGCAAACAGCACAGCCACAGTTCGCAAACCACCATTCTTTTACTGCAAGCTCCCGGTCCCATATACGAGGGGTGTTCATTTAATTCGTGCACGGTATCTGTCATCGCTGTATTCGTCATCGGTGCTGTCCGGCGGCACTTCGTCTCCCTCGAAGTACTCTCCTCGGACGCGTACACATTTCTTCCAACGTTCCATCCAGTTGTTAAATGCCTGCTGAAAGCCTCCACTTGATATTTCCTTAGTGCCGTCGTTGTGGCAGCGTGACGTCCAGCTTCCGAAGAAAAGTGACGACGCTTCAGCTCTCTTTTCAGCCTTGGGAACAAATGGAAATCGCATCGTGCCAGATCAGGAAAGTAGGGAGCGTACGGTAACACTTCGGCATCGGAATGCTGGTCATTTTTCACGGAGAGCGCGGTGGAGTTTTGAACGCAAGACTTCAGCATGGGCTTCTCCATTCATCGTAGTGCCTCGCGGGACGTAATGTGTAAGAAGAATGTCTCTGTAATAAAAAGAAACTGGGCAAGCCCAGTTCAGTAGTGGGCCTCCTTTCAGCTAAGGGGACTATCATTTTATGACTTCAATTTTTGCCAACTGTCAATGCCACTGCGACATGGAACACCATAAAACCGTTGAAGAATTCTTGCGCTCGTCGGCTTCAAAGCGCTTTCAAAGGACTGAAGATGATGTAAGTAGTGACAATGGAGATCAATATGCAAATCTGAAATTCTGCAATTTCAGAGATGGCTCTCCACGACGAAACTGCAGTGATGCACTTCTTTGCAGTGCCCATGTGAACGCAAGTGGCGACGAACTAACGAATCGCCCCGTATTTCATCATGAACGCTTAAAATATCTTGATTCTTGGCAGCAGGTTGGGGGCACTGCAGTAAGCGATGGTATCGTTCCTTTACGAGTACCATAGCAACTCTCGTCTCTATTTCGTGAGGCCGATTTGCATATTTCATTTCGAAAAGACACATCCTCGGATGATAAGGAAGAGTTCTGTTTAAGCCCCAAGTCCACATCTCGAAAAATTTGGGTAAATAGAGTTGTCACACACAAAAACACACATTTGTCACTTGACCAAGGTAGCGGTCAGGATCGCGCACACAATATGTTTAACCTCCGGTTTGAAATACAAGCGCCGTGAAAACGAACACTTTTGACATTGCTTCCTTATCGCGTGTCTACTACATTTGCGAAAAATGGCTGCTAAGGTTTTTCATTCCACGAAGGAGTTGTATGTTATGATTCGATTTTTGGTCGAATATGGCGTGGATGGAAATTAAAATTAATCACAGACTCAGGATAGATTACAAAAAAAACTTCCAAGAAGCGATGTTTAGGAACTGGTGCGAAAGTTCCAAAGTTGAACGGCGACTGTTGCAGACGCGGCACGTTTCGGGCCCGCAACACTTGCCGAATGATGCGCACAAGGTGGATGTGCCAATGTTGAGTCAATGGGAGACGTACATAAAGGACCTGCGCCCATGGAACCGATGAGCGCAGATCTGTGGCACTGGCGATATCGCGTATTTCCTGTTTATACTGTGCTTTAAAGGGTGTCTGGAAAGGCACTCTCTCTAATAAATTTGTAATAACGTTCGTCATTGCTTCGACTGGGTTCTCGTGAAACTAGACTGTTATATCAACAGTCAAGGAAATTCGGAAAAAAGAACTGTAATGGGGGTCATGGAAACCACATCATGAGCAAGGGATTCGATACGGGAGATTACGACCGCCGCATGGAATTTGCATAGATTATGCTTGAAAGGCTGCAGGGCTGTCGAAACCTCCTAAACAACCTCATTTGGTCGGATGAAGCTGTATTTCATGTGGGAGAATTTGCAAAGAGGCATAACATCCACTATTGGGTGGCTGTGGGTGGGCAGAACAATTGAGAGGAGTCATTCTTGCTCAAAGAGCATAGTTTGGGTTGGGATGACGTTTAATCGGATTAATGGGTCTGTCATCATGCGTGATACCATGGTTGGGAAAGATTCCTCAAGGTGTTGCAAAACTTTGTTCATAAGTTTCCGATCGGGAAAACGCATATGAACTGATCTTTGTGCATGATGGAGCGCCATCACATTTTGCAGATGAAGAGTGCTATTGGCTGGATTATCACATTCCATATCGTTAGATTGGCAGGTGTGGACCAGCAGAATGGCCAGCCAGGAGTCCCGATCTAACCCCCCTGGACTTTCTTATTTTCGGCTAGGCCAAGGAAAAAGTGTACCAACGCAATCCCACGGATCTTGACCCGCTTGAAGGAGCTACCAAGATAGTGATCCATCAAGAAAGTGATTCATGCCGTCTCCGAAGACTGCCTTTCACGCCCTGTCGCCAAATCACCCTAGCGGAATATTATTGATTCGAAATACGACTGTTGAAAATATTAAATAAAGTCTGAGGTTGACACTCATACTCCACTGAGTATGAGTGTCAACTCAGTATGAGTATGACTGAGTATGAGGTGAGTCTTGGGTATTTTTACATCGGTCTTTTTTTTCGTTGGGAAGGAAGACTTTAAAAATTCTGCAGAATCACGCATTTCAATTTTTCACCGAAGAGCGTTTCCCATTTTCCTGCTTCAATTCCCTGCTTACATTTTTTGAGAACTCATTTAACCGATGATTCGACGAAAAAGTTCCTTAGAGTTCGCTACAATGGCAACATTTTTCCATCAGAAGGCTGATCCCGACCCAATTTATTTGAAATGCTTGGAAGGGAGCGAAAATCGATTTAAAATATTCTGGACGCGAGAAAATGTCATCATGAATTCGTGCACTTGATATTAACGTATTCGTGAATATAGCTTGCGGTGACGGGATGTTCTCTTTGAGTCCAATCTTCTCCCCAAAGAAAGTGTCAGATCACTCACTATTGGAAATGAATTGGCAGATTGCCTAAAACTTGATTTCTAACTGATTAATTTTACGAAACCTCAGAAATTTGGTGAAGAAAATTGATTCAGAATTCGTGGTCATATTCGATATAAATGAACACATGCGAATGTGAGTGTGACGAATTTCTAACATTGTGGCTGCTTTTTATTCTCATGGCACCCCCAATGAAATAGGAAATTTTTTCGAGCAACATTGGGACTTATTTGAAAGAATGCTCTCTTCGTTGAAAATCCCTCGCAGCAAGACTCAAACGAGTCTTGCTGCGAGGGATTTTCAGTCTAATTTGGGGCATGATGGAGCAGTTGGATTATAAAATAATCGTGGCCAAAGGCCGCGGCTCTGTTCTAACCCAACTGACCCATCATTTCCCAGGACAGGTGGACTTTATCTTAGGCCTTTGACCAAACTGGAAGAAAAAATTTGGGGTCTACTAACCGTGCCAGCGTGATGAAGGGCCTTATCAGGACAAAAAAGACTAGATCAGAAGGGCGTAAGGAAACCTGACTCGAGTAAAATGTCCATGCCTAGGAGGGACATAGCATAGCTAGCCGTTCTGCCAGCCAATGTAAGTAGATGGAGAAAAAGACCCTCTGTTAGCATTTTCACCTGCACCAAATAAGATGATTGATTGCCAACCGAGCTGCCTGCCAAATCCACATGTCAGATCGAGTCAATGGAGTACAGCAGCATCCCGTGCCTAGCTCAAAATCATCCTTTTATTCAATGGCTGGATGTTCGAAGTTTCAACTACGTGTCTCACTTGAATGCTACAAGGCGGGTACGACTGAGAATTTGCATGCATCCAGTTTAGGGTTCCCTGATGACGTGAGGCATCCCCCTTTAAAATGCATGCAAAGTGTGGCGCTTTGAAATTCGAACTTTATCCCTTTAATAACTTATTTTCTCTTACTGCTAATTACAAGTTAGACCTGAGTTATTGATGTATGTTGAAACGTTTTAACCAGCGAAACGGATCCTGCGGGACGCGGGTGTGGTTTATAGATGATAATCGCTCTACCTGACTCGTCGTCGCCACGATTCTACACTCATGTAGTCAGAAAGAGATTGTGGTCAAAAGAGATCCAAGACTGCTACCCAGTTATTATCGAGTTGAGAGCAAGGGAGAGTAATTGTGGTTTGTGCAATCAGGATGCCATTTCATATCAGACACGTCATGAATCGCCAGAGTCATCAAGCTGAATTTACAGATTGGAAATTGTGTTATTGCATTCATGGATGGTGTCGGATGGTGAAGAAATGCAAATCTTATTTCCTCATTGGAAACTTCAGTTTGTTCTCCCCATTAGTGAAGGAGGCAGTTCTCTCGTACCTCGCTGATCGATATCCACGGGCCACTTGAATTGCCCGTTAATGGTGGACATATTGAGGAAAAGGAAATATTGAACTTAGCTGCCGGAAAATCGCAGCATTGGCTATTCAAAAGCAGGAGGAGACTATTTTTTCCCTTGCGATAGCCCTATTCATGTGAATCTTCCTTGAAATGTGCGTGCTTGGAATACGTTTTTTGTGGTTGTTTTGAAGGAGTTCTGAGACTGTTTCCTGGTGGTGAACTTATACTAATTTATTGCTGGATTTTGCTGACGGAGCAAACTATACATGCAAAGAGAATGTGCGAAAGGTGAGCAAAAACTTAAAGCATTTAACCAGCGTTGCATCTTTCTTTTTACGATTGCGAGGGGTTGGATTAAAAAAAATGGTTGCGTGGCTATTGAGAGCGGACTCAGGAATTCCCCTGTATAAGTCCATCCAAACCAAAAGCCAAAAGACGTCATGAACCAGTGGGACATTATGCATGACTTATGGTTTGGTTTGGTACTTGCTTCATTTGCATGTTGATGATCTCATCGAAAGACCTTGAACGGAGAAAATTGATATTGAAGGAGAAACGTGGCCCTTGGCATTAAAACACTAGCATCCATCCTGGGATAACTTTTTATTATGTGAGGCAGATTATGCTTCAGAGTTGCTTGGAACAACTTCAACATCCAATTCCAACAAGCATTTTTGAGAGTTTCAATATAACTGATTGGTAACATATTCTTGCAGAGATGGTGTCAGATCCATAAGATCATGAAAAAGTTCAGATGAAAATGTTTAAATGAAAGCTTGACTCATTCAATAATGAAAATGCATGCATGCAATGGAAAAACATGGCACGTAATAGTCAGTCTCATTGAACCAGTCGATCCATGCGCTCCTTCAGTTCATCTGCAAAAGATGCGACTGATTAAGAATGGGATGATAGAGTGGACGAGAATGGGACAACATCTTGCACCTTCCAGTTCATCTCATACTTTACACTTCTTGCAACTATTACATTGGCCTTTTTTTATGCAGAATTGCTTTTCCAACAGATGGGTCTGTAGAACGAATAAAGGATGGTTAGGTATTCCCATTGCCGTTATTGTTTTTGAAATGATGCATCTGTGCACTCAATTAGGGTTAACCAATCACATTTATACCTCCGTCCGCCTGTATCAATTGAAGGCTTGTTCCATGGAGGATTCAAGAGAGGAATACGAAAGCATCATAATTAATATATTGATAATATCAATATATTATTTCTGGAGATGAAGATGTGATTAAGCAATATATTTTTTAAAGCAAGGAATAAACATAATTCAACAGTAGTCTCTTTTTTGAAAGTGCTTGGTTATTTACAGAAATAAGCCCATGGGATGATTAGTGCACATATGGTTGTAAGACATTGTTCTAGACATGACCAAGACGTGTATGAGAGATTACGAATAAATAATTAGGAGTATGTAGTTTAGAGCTCATCTACATACATAAGGATCTGTACATGTCTGTATAACCAGATTTTGTCAAGGGCACTCCTCCCAGTTTTCTCAACCGATTTCCATCTAAGGAATCTCAATTTGTAATTTTTTGCATTTGAGCCAACTCATTTTATATATTTTTCTGAGTTGACCTTTGCCATGATTAGAGTGACTTTCCATATTAGTTTTGCACTGAAATTCATGTTTGCTAAATCATTAAAATCACTTGAATTCCTCTATCAGTATTCGTTTTCATCTAGCTAAAATGCTGCCATTTGATCCTACTGTGGTGAATTGAGAATTAGAGTTGAGAATGCCCTGATACCATATCTGTATTCTCTAGATAACTGCTTGGAGACCACCGTACCGCACCAATTTTCTACACTCGACTTCTTATCTAAGATTGCATTTCTTCTTAACTGTAATGAGAAGTGTGCATCATTATCTTAACACGAGGTTCTTTCATCATATCAACTATCAGTATCACCACATATTTAATTGCAGGCGTTTGCCGATTTTTTTCAAAAATAAAAATACATTTGTTTAAGTGGGAAATTCTCCAAGATCAGCTGGGGAGTCGAAGGCGCGTAATGCAACTTCTCTGAAGGCCTGTTTAATGGTTTATATGGGTTAATAATAATGGCATGGCACCTCGAGTATCATAATTGACTTTCCTAGTATGAATAGTCTTTCCTCGTGGCCCCAGAATTTAAGAATGTACTTCGTGGAAGAGGATATACTTTGTGGGTTTGAAGTAAGTCAACAGTCATGACATTTGATGTAATTAATGGAATTTGCCAGGTATCATGAGTGCTTTGTTCTTCAAGAGTTAATATAACTTTCCGTTTTAAACTCTATGTAGCTGTTTCTGCGTGTTACCCGAAACTGTACAAATCGGTCATCTTGAAAAGATCGCGTATATTTGCAACCTTGCTATAAGATGCAAAGATGTTAGTGACATGCAAGTCGCATCAGGAATAAATGACGTGCAGTCTAACAATTCATTTGCACGAATCGCACTCCTGACCATCGGGAATCGCGCATGTTAGCACCGCCCTGTTGGAACCAAAACTATACCCCCCACCCACCTGGCTCTCAAGAATAACGGATCTTCTGAAAACATACTTTGTGTTTCCAGCACTCTGCGAAAGGTTTAATTATCTATAATCTAAAAATATCATACGCTAATGTATGTTTGTAAGCCGTGCTGCGTCGTTATGCAAATAGATATCCTGACATGTTACGCATAGTTTGAAAGCCTATGGTTAAGAGGGGTGTATCGAGCAATCAGACTTGAAATATCTTCAATTCAGGATGAGTTACGAGCTATCAAAATGTTCATCATCAAGCTACCCTGGTAGAGTCCTGCACGGGTCGATTTCCCGGTACTCGACCCGATAGGCCCGATTTACGTCATGGCTCACGTCGACCCGAAACTCGACTTCTAGCAAAAAATTCACTTCGACCCTGCCCGACTCGAAAAAGGATCGTGAAAATTTCTCCTATAAATGTTCCACAGGTCGGGTCGAACTGGTGCTATCGGACCGGGCCACGGCCTATGCAGGGCTCTAACACCAGGTTCCTCCAGTAGCTAACATGGCTGCTGCTTTAATCATAATATTTTGGAAATCCTTTTTTTTACTCCCTGGGAGAAACACAGGACTACAGAGCTGCATTTTTTAAAGTCAATAGTGGAGAGTCATAAAATGGTTGCCAGCACGTTTGAAAATAACGTGTTTACAAAACGTGCCTGTTTGTTTATAAGTTTACACTTTTTTGGGAGACTAAATCATTCATCGGAAGTCAAAAGAGTAAGCAATGCCAGAAGATGCTCACATTATCAAAGGGTGACAGTTTCCAAGCCGCCTTGCTTCAACAATCTATATCAACAAGTGTCAAGAGCAAACATTCCAATGAATTGGTTTGTACTTTCATGAGTGTATTTTTCCATGGACAGTTGCATTTAGCCTTTTCAAGAGTGTGGCACTTGCAAAACGTCTATGTGTAGGGCCTGGACGTAGATAAGGTCGATACTCAGCAACAATGGTACCTATACACTTAATGCTGTACTACGATAGGTTTCGAATTGAAAATGCTGTGCAGATTTTTGAATGTCAATTTCTAAGATGCATGAAAATCTTTGGTGTTCTTGAAAATCAAGGGACAAAATTAATATAACTACTTTTATATGGTGGAATACAAAACATTTTCCTTTGGACCATGTACCTTCAAGATGTTAAGTATTTGTGTCAAAATCTGGAAATTGGTACATTATATTGATAATTACGCACAATATGCGCGAGACTCTGTTAGCTCCTGAATATCACATACATGTAAATTATTCTAGTGACATTCAGTGAGGAGTGGTGTGAGGTGCGAACAGTGAGGAATATCTTCCCAAAAAATTTTTTTCAAGATACTTTTTTTTTTCTTTGCCGGAAGTGAATGAGTTTGAAAAAGAATAAATCTCATTCTAGACCGTGTTTCCAAAGAATCAGATCAGTTTAAAAAAATATTTTGTACATGTTACCTATAATCAGAGTGTGTGCATGCAAAATATGAATGTTTTTTCCTAGAGAGAGGAGCATGGAAGCATTGCAAAATATAGGGGAAGGCGAATTGTCGAAGTACTGAACTTTGTTTCCCATTTACCTTCCGTGAGGGGTTTTAACCCAGCCAAACGCCTGTCTAGACTCCATAAGATTGGAACAGTGTGGTTCTGCCAGGTCACAGTCACCTTCCCACGGAAGGAGATATTCTTGAGTGAGGATGGGAGTTGGCGACCACCATAAACAGGGGGTAGCTTCTTCGCTGGCATCCATGGAGCATATTCTAAAAAAAAGATATTGTGGATGAATGAGTTGAATTGTAGGGACGGGGCATAAAACATATTCTTGCCACCAATGACAGAGGATATCATTTGCTCTCTTTCCTTTCACTCTCCCTAGCAAAGGGAATCCTCTGGACGCCACCATGTACAGTAACTTATGTGAACCGAAATCATGTCACTTTCACAAGGTATAAGGTACGCGAAAAGGTTCTGTATTTTCTGTTTTTTTTTTCCTCCAAGTTCCTTCCGAAAATAAATCGTACATGTCAATGTACCAGTACATGACATGCAAATCACAGTAATAATATTAATATTACTTTACTCGCAGCTTCCCGTGCATCATTTACGTCTTCCTAATTGTGATTAATGGACTTTTGTCTCATGTTCAACTGCAGCACACTGTTATTGAGTGTTGAATATCGACTAAATTATATTGAGCCTATCCCGCCATATCCCCTCCACTAAATTCCCTATATACCAAATTTCATGGTTTCCATTCAATTATATTTACATGAGACACCCACTATGAATTTGGAATTCTTGGGTATCACATGAAGAAGGGCAGATGCTTTGTTTTCTCAGAGACCCCCAATTTCCCTTTTCATCATATTTCGCCATTTTTCCAGACTTAGCAACCAACCTGTATTACAAAGGAATTTTAGGGGACATAAATTTCATCTCAAATCTGCTAACCCAAATGATTTTTCTGTGAAATCACATAACGGAAATCTATGTGACATCAACATCAAAATTTTCAAAAACCTTTAGGATTTTAAACCTTCATTTGAATTACGCTAATTTCGAAAACGGAATTCATTTCATTATCACCACTACTATACTCAGCCATTAGATTACTCACATATATGAGAGATTGCCATTTCATGGAAAAATTATTTTTTTTACGCATCCCTGGTGCAACCTTCCATTGAAGAACTTTTTCTTCGAAATATGTTCGCTACTGCGAATCGAAGTAGTATAGAGAGCTGATATTTAACTTCATTGAAAATATACATTTCTGGGAAAATCATACTTTAGAAGTATTCAATACATCCATTCTGAAAACATTTTCCTGGGAGGATCTTTCTGGTCAAATAATTTTGCTCCAGGGAACAGGGTCTACGGAATACTAACTTCAATACGTAGATTTAGAAATTAGGTTCTTGATTCAAGTAAGATACCATTATTTTGTGGTTTGGGACCTTGGGAATATATAGGGTAGGCCAAAAAACAATAAAGATGGCATTTTTGGTGAGCTGCCAATCTCAATGTGGGATGCTGATTCATATGAAACTTGGTAGACATGGGTAACAATTTTATTTCGTTTGCCGAATTTAATTTTACTGCTAAATGTAATATTATATAACCTATGATAATTTACTAATTACCCATGGCACAATGTACCGTCGAAAATGCCGATATCAACTTCACGTATGTAATGTGATACAATATCACCTGCAGCAATAAGATAAGTTATTTATAAGCTAGGCTAAGGCCAGCTTACTCATAAACACATTGAATAGCGTACTCTAGCTGGCCTATTATTGCGTGAGATTCCGAAATTCCCTGATAAAATATTTTTCTATCCTTGCGTTTCAGGTCAACTTTTTTGCATAGCCAAAAATGCCTGAAATAGGTGACGGAGTCCTCGCACTATTAAAAACTTGCGCCTTGAAAGAGAATCTGGTGTAAGACAAATGTTGAATGAATTTAAAAAACGATCGGTCGATTAGTGGCCTGAATATGTCATAAGTAAAATAGGTGAACCTATTGATATTCTGTTTAAAAATTGAGCAATTGCATTTTTGTGAGCAAACGTAGATGAAATGCCACTCTCGCAGTTTAGAGTGTTTTGATTTAAAACTCGGCATACAAATCGTAATTGATGTATACACCATCAAAAGTATTGGGACTGAGGATGTTCACAGATACACGATGTCAACAGGAATCCCCTTATCCTTCTCTACCGTCGCCCAGTCGTAGATAGGGGAGAGGAAGTCACGAACGAACGAATACAAGAGCATGAGTTTTCCCTCTCCCTTTCAACACGGCCTGAGCTCGTCCTGCCGACCTCACACCTGCTCCCACCCCGCCCTCCGTTCCGTTATCCCAGCTGACCTCCCTCGACCAGAGAAACTTGTTTTCGGTCTTAATGACTGCCTCCTGGGATCGCTTAACCTTCGCCCCCTTTACGACCTGAGCCCAATTACTAGCCACCTGGGAGTCGGCACTCGACGCGCTGTCAAAGGACGAAAGGGCCACCCTCCCAGTAAAGTCCGGAAGGCTGGGGAACCCCCGGAGTGCCTCCTCCACCCTAACTAGCCTCGCCACTAAATCATCCCTCTGTACCTCGCCCACCTCCTTCCTGATCCCTCTTATCTCCTCCTCCACGCTAATGAGCCTTCCCGATAGCTCCCCTAGTCGCTCCTCCAAGCTACAAACTCTGCATACCTGGCATACCTCTCGTTCACTAGTCCCACCTACCCAATCCCCGCAACGAACGCATCTACACATCCTAGGCATCTTACTTAATGTTATTGATCCCTATTGACACTCCTACTGCTTTAGACTTATACTTTGCAGTACTTCACACTAGTTGTAACCCGGTATTACTTATTTCCTATGGAAACGATATTAATGTATTTCCCATTGATATCGATGAGTGTTTTCATGGAACAGGTTGGTTGTGGAGCTGCAGAGTGTGGCGCGAAAATCTCCTACGTCTGCGAATACAGACCTGTGTATGGGAAATGTTCAGGGTTTTTTTCAAAGAGGAATCCACAATGCCGAAGTCCCAGGCGTATTTCTATTTCTTTTTTCTTGCAGATGGGTTATATCTCACTTTCCGATATACGCTGAGGGAGTCACCAACGACGACGTCGGCAGCGATTGCCTCGAGAAGTCCACGGACTTCCCCGGGCTCTCCAAGACCGTCGGCTAGCCGACCGAGTAAGTGCAGCCCGGTCGCAGAGGATCTTCAAACTCGAATCCTTCTTGGAATTTTTTTTCCTCTTCGTCTCATCTCGTACTTTTATTGTCAACTACATGAAATACCTGCGACTTTGAGTCCCCTGAACGAGTTTCATGTGTTCTGGTTGCCATGATCTGAAGTTTTAACCTCGGAGGAGGCGAATCAGTGTTATTCGTGCCATCTGTGTCAAGCTTTTGCGAACAATCATTTTTTTAATTATTGAACTGTGAATCTATTATAGTATGAATTTTGCTGGTGCGCCAATGCTTAAAACTGCGAAAATGAATATGGCCGAAAGCAAACTAAGTGCTGACATCTAGTGGATTTGCTTCGTAAACGATCAGTAATAGAGTTTCGAGCACATTGATTTGGAATTGCGCTTAGAAAATCAAGAACAGAACCGCAAATCTCAACAATTTCTCAGACAAGGAGTTTCGTACTGCAATGGGTTGAAGGTAGCAGTTTAAAAAACCAACCTGGCCCACAGTGGAAAATCGATGAGTATTTGAAATGTAATGAGAAATGTGAAGACATTCCTAACTGACATGTTCCTGGCAGATATTTCCATTTATTATTATATTGCAGCTTTTGGAGAAGTGACCCAGCTTCATGCCAGCGTTTGAAGTTCTTCATCTATATTGTGCGTGCGTGTTGAGGAATATATGTTTCGTCCCGACTTCGTTTCCGACTCAAATCCCGCACCTACACTCACATGTTCGATATTCTGCATCGCCATTTTCTAGTAGAGACATATCCACCTATATAATGTATTTTAAGGATACCAGTTGTAAAGGAGCCGAATAATTTCTTGATTTTTTTTTATTACAAGTTTTCCTTCCAGTGGTTCAAGCCCCAGTGCCATAATATCTGGGCTTTGAAATACATGGATGCGAAATTCAATGTGAAACCCTCATGTCCGAAAACGCATATATGGCAAAGAAACTCGCTATGGTCGCGCTTCCGGCGCTCCCTTACCTTGTTTAGTGATTAATTCATATATTGTTTGCGAAATAGGAAACTCGCGTTTAAGTACGTCTTCATTGAATTACGTGATATATGGGGACGAATATCATCATTTTCATGAAAATCATTACTTCGAATATTTCCAGTAGGCCAAACTTGAAATATTTTCATGTGCCCCTTTTTTGTACGGGTGGAGAATACATTGTTAAATGCTTTCCTTCTGTAATCTATGCTAAGGGACATATTTTAAATGTAGGATTTTTTCTGTACTCAGCAATCAAAGAGTTACTTCTGAAGGAAGTTTACATTTTGAATTATTTATTTATTGCACCAAGGTGGAGGTGGAATAGGAGATCACAATAGAGGTGAATAGAGATCACAATAGGACAATCATGAAGGAGCAGTTAGGGTTGGAAATCACACATGTGCGGAAGCAGTTATTCACTGCTATCCCATGCTTTGAGGGATTTTGTGTTTCCTGGACATTGTAATAGATGGTAGAGATGGGATGCACATCCACTACATAAGGAGCAAATGCATATTGGCATTGAAGAATGGAAATCTGGTCTTTTGCAGAGCTTGGAGTGGAACCCATGTATTGAGTACTCGGGTTACTAGGTGTCTCTTTCCCGAGTTACACTCCTTCCAATGCTGTTGGGTCATCCCTGGGGAAGACGTAAAATCAGATGGGATGTGGTACCACTTATCTTGGACTTCTTCCAAATATGCATGAAGTTTACATTTTCTTTTTTTCGTTGGATAAGAAAATTCAGGAAATGGGACTTTAAAAAAAGTGTCCTGATGGGTTTTAACGAAAATGTTATTTTTTCTGAAAAGTAGACTCAGGGAACTCTATGCCATCCAGTTTCAGTTTCATACGTTTCCTCTTTTTGCTTGCTGAAAAATTGAATTGTCAACTTTTTGAAATGTCAAGCTCCAAAAGGTTGTCATTTGTACAATGTGTCTGGGTTTCTGTGTTCTACATGTTAAACCATTGATTGCCAATAAAAATGGAAAAAAAATTTTTTTTTCCTGAAATCAATATCACGTCCGTTAACACATCACATCACGTCACATCACATCACATCACATCACATCACATCACATTCTAATATTGGAAGCCCAAATGGGCCAATTTTGAGCTTTAAAAAACAGTTNAATATTGGAAGCCCAAATGGGCCAATTTTGAGCTTTAAAAAACAGTTCATATAATTTTATTCAAAGAAAATGAGTTTAGGCACGAGGGTCATTTTCCCGGACCACTTGGCTATCACTTGAACTTCATACTGGTTTCCGAAGGATATCGCTGTCTTCGTTTTCTGAACGCAGAAGCCCGATCGTCGTCTGGGTGTTCAGGCAATAGGAATCTCATATCCGGGTCTATGGGGATAATGGCTCGATCGTTTGCGGGAGCCGACAGGTGGTCGACACCGGTGTTTGTTCAGGGTCGGTTCAGGGAAACATGTCTGCATCCGAGTCAGGAATAACCCGTGTTAAGGTGGTACGGGAAGGAAAATCGATGGGTCTGGGA